ATGTGTGAGTGTATGCTGATGGTGAACAATCCCTGCCCACAGCCTGTGCTCAATAAATACGTATTGGGTGCCGGAAGGAAAGAATGAGGCAAGGAATAACGGAAGCAGATACATTCCAGGTTTCTTCCACCTGCTTTGGTATCATCTTCCCAGTCACTTTCTGTTTCTGGTCAGGATGGGTGGAAAGGACACCGGGTGCAGAGCAAACTTCCCCCTCCTTGGTGACAGCCAAGTCGTTTCATCAGCGCTGTCTCACCGTGCCAGAGGAAGGGTGCATGTATTTCTGTGACACTCTCACCGAGAGCTGTAGGCAGCGGGGCCAGGAATCAAGTTATTTTTGGTAAGGGTGCTGGACGAGTGCCATGCCAGCCGCAGCCTTGGTGCAGTGTGGCACTTAGTGAAAATAAAAACTCCCTCAGCAGAGCTTGGGAGCCTATCACCTGCTCTGGAAGAGTGCTGAAGTGCTGGCCTCCTGCACATACTTTTCTATCTGGAGTAGTCCAATAATAATAATATCAACAACAGCAATAATGGTTGGCTGAGTGGGATGCCGAGGGCAGGACAAGAGTAGTTTACATGCTTGAGCCCCAGTAGATTTCTGCACCAAATATACTGGACCAAGCAACCTTTGTACTAATTCCTGCCTCCGCATGTTGTGGCTTGAAGGTTCTGTTTTAGAATGTGACATAGTTTTGTTTCCTATCAACAAGATGTTCACATAGAAGAAGAGTACTACTATCTATGTTCTTTTTGAATACATAATTGCTTCTTTTTAATGATTACTTTTGTAATAAGACAGGATGGAGACCAGGACTCCGGTAAAGCAGTAGAAAACCTACAGGATGTGACTTAAGGAAGCACACTCTCTCAGGATCCTGTAAATGTAGGCTCAGATCTGACAGTAAGGGCCTCCTTAAACATTATGCCCTAAGCATTATATTCTCCTTAAACATTATGCCTCTCTTCCCTTCTCCAGTCCAGCCCTGGAGAATGAGCTGCCTGCAGCTGTAACCAAAAGGGCACATGTGAGCAAACAAAACAAAACAAACAAACAAACAAACAAAGGTCCCTGGGGAGTCCAAGAAGCAATTTTGATCTCAGCTTTGTTCGAGTTCTGTCTCTAGCTTTACTTTCCTCTTCCTTGGCTTTATTTTTTTTTAGAAAATGCCACAGACAATTTTGGACCTTCCCCTCATAATCAGGGATTACTTCATCAAGTTTAGCTGTGATTTTTGAAGCTTCAAGTCATAGTGCAACGCTGCCCTAAACAGAACTCCTCTGGTGGCAAGTGACAGAATACCTGGATCTATGGTGATTTAAACCAGAAGGGGCAATCTCTTGCACAACGAGGTGGCCTAGGGGTGGCACTGGTACAGTAGAGAGTGCCAACTGACTGGCTGATTATCAATTCACAATGTTTTTGTGTAACAGAATTAACTCAAAATAGAGACAGAACTCAGCACTCTTCATTCTTGGGATGTGGCAAAATACTGGTCCCTAAGATGCACGAGAAAGACCCTGGTCACCGTTTCACTGGGGGGCCCTTTTCCCTTTGGGATTTCTTTCACCTTCCTGGGATAGGGAAGATGTCAGATTGCAGGGTGGAAATCATGTCCTGAGGAGGCAGAGCTGATCCCAGAGCCTGGGCCTTGGACAGCCTTACGGAACTAAGCTTCCTACTTTCCCAGGACCACCTACTCATACTGAATTGTTACATGAGCAAGAAAGGAATTTTGTGCAACTTAAGCCATTGCATTTGTGGTCTCACTGTTACGCCAGTGTTACAACTGAGACCTAGAATATCCCCCAAAAGACTCATGAGCTCAGAGGTGGGGCTTTGGAAGATTACTGGATCGTGGGGCACCAGCTGACTGCTGCTAGGATGAGGTCTGGTGGTATGACTTGGAAGGGTGTGTTCTCCTCCTTTCTCTCTGCTTCCTGGCTGCCACAAATTGAGTACATTTTCCTCTACCATGCCTCTCTGCTGTCCTGTTTCTGTTGACGGTAGACTGAAATTGTTAGCCAAAAAAAAAATCCCTCTCCTCCTTCAAGTTGTGGGTGTTGGGAAATGCATCCAGTGACAGGACAGTGACTAAGACAGCCAGTGTCACTTAAATAACACAGAGTGTTCATGGGATACTTCTAAAAGAATCATCAGAATGTGGTCTGCTTCTGTTTAGCTCTTGGTTCTGCTGCTTCAGTGGGGAATCCCACCCCATCTCAGGTGAATCCTCCCCTGGGGTCTCCTGAAGGTGCCAGAAGCTTCAGTTCTATTTCAGCCAACAGCATGGAAGTCTTTGTCCCAGTACTCAGCAAAAGCAAGCCAACTAACTCTCCACTAGCCAGCTTAGGCCATGTGCACACAACTGAACCAACCACCAGTTGTCCTAAGGAACACACCCTTGTACTGGGAGCAGGGGACAGGGATGCTCCAGGGGAAAATAGTGGTCACTAGGAGAAGGGAGCCTGGGTGCTGAGCAAGCAAACAGATCTGTACTGCAAATCAGAAGTCCTAAGTGGTGAAAACTGAATAAAAAAAGGAGATGAAAATAGTGGATTTTTAGATCAAATTCATCTCCAGTAAAACTAAGTTGCTCATGGACGTATGCCTGTTTGGCAGTGTATCATTGTGCCTTTGTGCAGTGCGTGACTCTGTAAGTTCTTCTACACTGTGAATGGCAGTGAATTACTCCTTTCCCTTTCCATCATTGTGATGGTTAATTTTGACTGTCAACTTGATTGGCTTGAGAGACACCTACGGAATTAGTACACTGGTGGGTTATGGGTATGTGACCTGGGGTCTACATGTGGCCCTGGTGCCTTCCTCTCTTATTCTTCCCCTGCTGTCTGCTTCTTTGTCTCCATGTGGTTGAGTAGGTTTCCTTCTGCCATATTTCTGCACTGATACCAGTTGACCATGAACTGAAACTTCTGAAACCGTGAGCCAAAATAAAGCTGTTCTCCTCTAAATGGATTTCTCAGATTTTTTTTAGAGCTATGCAACTCTGATGAACACAGTCGCTATTGTGTGCTGCACAGTTTGGAGAAGTTTAAGTGGCTCTTCTGTGAGTGGCATATCACCGTCTGTGATTTTTGCATCTATATCAGTTTGATTTTCCCAAACAAATAAAAGCATATACTGGATTTAATCTCGCAATTTAAAAAATCATTGGCTTTCTTCCATCTGGTTTCTTTCTAGTATGATTCTAATATCTTCACTCTGATTTAATTATTTATGGATGTTTACTATGTTCAACATTCACTATGGAGGGATGCATTTCGCAGCCCCCCCTTTTTTATTATTTCTGTTATGTGAGCTTTGTTCAGCTCTTTAGGTGTCTTAATTTCTTTATTCTTTGTTTCTATGGTACACAGACATGGTGTGCGAGAGATGTGTCAAACAAATGCCTTCCATGCATACTTCTGTTTCACAGCAGCTATGGACAATATTTCTTTCTCTCTCTTTTTTTTTTTAAAGTTCTGACTCTTCAGAAAGTGTTCTCCACATGATTTTATCATTTTCTTTTGGTGAGACTTAAAATTCTCACAACATTTTTCATAGAACGGCAACAGGAAGACAGAGCAGATGGTTTACTACGTAGCAAAAAACAAAACCAAAAAAACCCAAAACCGATTTTCTCTGCCAGAATATTTGCTTTTCGGTCTCCCCAGTTCAGTCTTCGTGCCCCAGTTCAGTCTTCATTCCCCTATAGCACATTCTTGGATAATTCTCTTCTTTAACCGACTGACATGCGTCAAGCCCGGTCCCCTCGAAGCCTGTGTTCCCAGTGAGAAAGGAACAGACTGGTATAATCTTGGAGCTAAAGGGCGTTCATGTAATTAACCAAACAACCCACTAGAAAGGTGAATCTTCTCTGAAGGTCCCTCAGCCTTGCTTGGTCACCTACAGTGAGCAGTAATGGTTTAATTTCTGACCTCCTCTGTCTTTGATGATACCATATATGATCTGAAAGTTTCCTCAGAAACCCACTCATGAACCACCTCCGCCCTTCCAAAGAGGCACAGGACGATGTTCAGGAGCAGGGCTAGGACCACCCAAAGCCTGGCAGTGACCAGCCATGGCACGGACAGCAAGTCCCTGGGCCTAAGGTCTTCTGAGCTTTAGTTTCTGTAAAACCTGGATCTAGAACTCACCTCGTTCTCCCCTTAACAGGATTAGCACAATGCCCTGCTAGGTGCTTGGCAGTTGTGAGCGCTATTAACTCAAGCGTGCTTCAGGAAACCTCATTCCCTTCCATCTTATTTTATAGGCATAATTAAACTATCTTATAATGGTTATGAGATGAAGCTATGCTAGATGATAGGGGTTTAAATACAGGCCTGGGTTTACACCAGGCAGGCTCTACCTCTTACAGGGGAGTTTAAATGAGTTAATCCATGCAAAGGGGCCAGGAGCCCTGTCTGGCACCATCTTGATAACCACTGAGAGATTTATTGAGCACTTACTCCGGGGTAGGCTTTGGAGACACAGGGTAATGGGGCCACATCTTAACCTCTGTAAACTTAACAGTCCTGCGGGGAAAGGTAGGCTAGAGAAAAATGGGGCAAATGGTTACCCCAGAGGCTGGGTCCTGGATGTCAAGGAAAGCCCCGGGGGGATCTTAAGCCACCTCCCTGCCTTCTGCTCAGGGCCACCCGTGGGGGGACACATGCCCCCCCAATGGGCTCTTCCGGAGAAGAAAAGGGGCTGAAGAAGAGGTGGGGCGAGCAGCCCACGGGAAAAAGTGAAATTTCCTTTCTTCCTAAAATAAGCCACCAGCGCTGGGGAGAGGAGCGGCGCCCGCGGGGGCGGCGGGCAGGTGGGCGGGG